ACAGGTACTGTGGGAGAAGCAATACATAAGTCTTGGAGCAGCATGCCAATCCAAGCAAGTTTTGTAGTCGTGTGTGCCAAAGACCTATATTCAGCCTCGGTAGAGTATCTTGAAACAGTGATCTGTATTTTAGCTGACCAAGAGATAAGATTGGACCCCAAAAACACACAATAGCCTGATGTGGATTTTCTGTCAACTGTATCCCTTGCCCAATTGGAATTTGAATAAGCTTGAAGATCAAATGTGCTGGGAGTTAAGGCCATGAGTGAGAGTTCCTTTAACAAATCTAAGCAAAATCTTGACCCAAGAATAATGAGCAACAGTTGGATTATGCATATGTAGACATTGTTGATTGACTGCAAAGGACAAGTCAGGCTTGGTGATTGTTAAGTATTGCAGTGCACCGACCACACTCCTCTAAATTGTTGGATTATTAAAGAGAGCATCAGAATTAGGAGGCAAGCCGGGTTTAACAGAAGTGGGAGAAGAGCAAGGTTTACAATCAAGCAATCCAGCTTTGTTAAGAATCTCCCAAGCATACTTTTTCTGGGAAAGAACATAACCAGAACCAGAGGCTTCAACTGAAATGCCAAGAAAATAGGATATGTTGCCTAGTTCTTTCATGGAAAAAGCTTGCTGCATTTGAGTAACTAGGGCTTGAATATGAGTGACATCATTACCAGTTACCAAAATGTTATCAACATAAACTAGTAAAGTAGTAAAAATAGAAGCAGTCCTCTAAATGAAAAGAGAAGAATCACACTAGCTATTTTTGAACCCTTGTGAGAGTAAAAAGAAGGGAAAGGTGGAGTGCCAAGCCCTAGAGCTTGCTTAAGACCATACAAAGCCTTGTGAAGTTTGCAAACATGACCTGACTAAGAAGAATGTTCAAACCCTAGAGGTTGCAGCATATAGACTTCTTCAAGCACACCATGAACAAAAGCATTGGATATGTCCAATTGCTTGATAGGCCAATTATGATGTAAGGCAAGGCACAAGAGGATGTGACTAATAGCTAAATTTGCAACTGGACTAAATGTTTCCTGAAAGTCAATTCCTTCCTGTTGGAGATAACCCTTGGCCACCAACCTGGCCTTATGTCTAGCAATGGTGCCATAAGAGTTTTTCTTGACCTTGAACACCCATTTACAACCTATAGCATTCTTGCCAGAGGTAGAGGAACAAGGGACTAAGTATGTTGTTTTTGAAGAACTTGAAATTCCTCTAACATGGGTGTAAGCAAGGCTTCTTTGTGAGAAGGAGGCTCAGTATCATGATAAGAGAAGGATGTAGAAGACTTAACAGTGGAAAGTGCAGCTTTTGACCTTGTGACCACAGGATGACAATTGGAAATAGATGGAACAAGAGGAACTGATGCAGGAGGAGCAGGAAGAGGTAATTGAATGGATAGAGATTGAATAGGAATAGGAGACTGAGCAAGAGGAGAGGAGAAACTAGAGGTAATGAAGCAGTCTCACTGTGAAAAGAAAGTGCAGGCTCTGGAGTATGAGAAAAGGATGCTGCGGAAGAGGAGGAAGGAGAGACTGAAGAATTAGGAGTCATAACAGGAATAGAAGAAGAAGACCAGAAAAGGGACTGAATATGTGGTAATTGAGAAGAGGAAGAAGAAGATAGAGAAGAGGTGTGAACAGAAAAAGGAAACACTTGTTCATTGAAGACCACATGCCTAGATTTACCAGTTTTGGGATCAAGACACCTATAGCCTTTTGCAATAGACTTAGGTTGCAATTTTGTACAGGTATAAGGCTTGAGCCAAGGAAAGCATTGACATCCAAATACCCTTAGGATAGAAAAATCTGGTGTTTGATGGAATAGAGTTTCAAAGGGAGTTTTGTGAGCCAACTTAGAAGAAGGCAACCTATTGATTAGATAAGTAGCACAAGCAATGGCATCAAACCAATAGTGAAGAGGAACTAAAGAATGACGTAATAAAGCTATGGCAACTTCGGTGAGGTGCCCATGTTTCCTTTTAGCCACACCATTTTGTGGTGGTGTATAGGTACATGAATGTTGATGCACTATGCCTTGAGTTGAAGTGAAGGCCTTCATTTTGTTATTAAGGAATTCAGTTCCACCGTCTGTTCTAAGAATTTTAAGAGAGGTGGAAAACTGTTTTTCTGTGTAGGCTTTGAACTCAAGAAACTTATCATACACTTCACTTTTGTAAGTCAATCGATATAACCAAGTAAACTTGCTAAAATCATTCACAAAGATAACATAATATTTGTAGCTAGAAGTAGAATCAAAAGGGCCCCAAAAATCACTATGTACTAAGGAAAGATGCTTATTAATAGTTGAATTAGACAGTTGGAAATGCAATTTATGACTCTTTGCAACACAGCAATCAATACAATTTAGAGAAGTAACAGAGTTATGTGATTTGAGTTGTAAATGTGACATAAGATGCTGAAATTTCAAAGCACAAGGGTGTCCTACCCTATAAAACCATACAGTACTAGAAACAGGGGATGAGTTAGTGAGATGCACTTGAGTAGCAGAGTTGGTGTAAGCAGTAGATGTGAGATGAGCAGCAAAAGGGGTGTGATCAGCATATGATGATGTGGATGGAAGAAAATGATATAAGCCATGAAGATTAGAGCCTTTGTGAAGTAGTTTCTTTGTAAGCTTGTCTTGGATCACAAACTGAGTATTATCAAAACTGATAATACAATTATTATCTCGAGCCAATTTCTGAATAGAGACAAGATTAGAAGACATGGAATTGGTATGAAGTACATTATTAAGCTTGAAAGAATAATGAGGAGTAGGGAGGAAACCTTTACCAGTGTTCTGAATTGGAATAGAGTTTCCATCACCTATGGTAATCTGATCTGAACCTTGATAGGGCTGATAGCAACTAAGATGACTAAGATCATTAGTTATGTGATCTGTTGCTTCAGCATCCAAATACCAAGGACCTTGAACTTGAGAAGAACCTGAGGATGAAGGAGCCATGGAAACTGATGAAGAAGTAACAAATGCTCTAGGTGGTTGTTGTGGTGTTTGAGATTTGATATTGAGAAGAGCTATTTGGAGATTGAAACTGTGGATCCATGTGATACCAACACTCTAGTGTTGAATGAGTCATGCCTCCACAAATTTGACAAATCTGATTAGAGAACCTTCCTCTACCTCTAGAAGAACCAAATCGACCATGGCCTCTATAAGATCCTGAATTTTGTCCTCCTCTTCCACCTCTAGAATAAAATCGACCTCGAGATTGACCAAAATTCTGAGCTCTTAAATGAGTGTTAGAAGAATTAGCAGATCCTTTAACTGTATAAAAGGCGACAGTTGGCTCGGCAATTTTCTTATGTTTAGATTCTAAATGAATAGCTTCAGAACACAATAAAGAGGATAGATCATCCATAGTAATAGTTTCTGATCTAGCACGATTGCAATGGTAAAAGCATCATATTTAGCAGGAAGGCCATTCAAAGTGATTACTACCAAATCTTCATCTTTGATGATTACTAAGGCAAGTGCTAACTGACTGACTAAGGCTTTAATCTTTGAGAGATATTCCTCCATCGTATCAGATTTCTTGGCAACACTATTCAATTTGTTCTTTAATTGATGAATATGTGATATAGAAAAAGATGTAAATCGCTTATGAAGAGAAGACCAGACCTTCAAAGCAATGATGGAATTGAAGCACAGTAGAATAGATCGAAGGTGTCAGTGTAGCAGTGATGCAGCTTAACAAATGTGCATCAATCATGTGCCATTGAAGACAATCTGGATTAGGAACTTCTATTCCTGTTGAATCTGTGATTGTAGATGAAGGACATGGTGTTGTTCCATCAACATAACCAAGAAGAACGGTTGCTCTGAGAATATTGGAGTGTTGAGCCTTCCAGATGATAAAATTTGATCCATCAAGCTTGACAGTCATGAATGATGAAAGATTGGAGATTAACAGAGTTAAATTCAAAGGAAGCGAAGAAGATAGAGAAGACGAAGATAGAGATGATGAAGATGCCATGGATCAATTGCTTGTTAGAGCTTTAGCTCTGATACCATGTGGAAAAGCTGAAAAATATCTTTTTTTTTCTTATTATATCATGTATTACATCTCTATATTTATACATAAGGATATGACAAACCTATATTTATCCCAATGTTTTAGTCTTTGTAGACTTTGTGGAGGATTTGATTAGTTAGTTTTGTTTAGTCCTTTTGTGGCTGCATTTTTGTATTCTTTGTATCATCTTTGATGCTTTCTACTAAAGTTTGATTATTTATAAATAAAAAAAAAAGAAAAAGAAAAAGAAGAAGAAGATATAACAAACCTATCTAACCAATCTAACAAACTTGTAACAACCTAACTAACTGTGAGCTATGGACTGATATGGACTGCAGTGCAGTTGAGCTGCTTTGGAGCTGCGGCCTGAGCTTCCTGAGCTGTGACCTGATGCTGAACTGTGGTCTGATGTGGTATCCTCAACAGTATCCATATCCGTGCTTCCTAGATTCTATGTTTTTGACTGTCTATACAACTTCTTACTCACCCGCACCATAAAATTCATCAGAATATAGTTGTTAGGTTGTAGCCTAATCAACAACTGGGTGCAAATGGGCTATCACTTTCACCTTCCATGTGATTAACTCTATTAGTGTTGATTTTACGTTTATATTGACTCTACTTATAAACCACTGGAATCAAATGGCTGAAAGATAAGGCATTATGGTCCTTTCCTTAGAAAAGGTTTATTCATTATTTCATTCAAGAATTATCAACTAGCCTCTTTTGATTAGATACTTCATTGTTTAGAAAGTACGATTTTTTAAACCACAGAGAATCGGGTTGCTTTGTTAAGAAATCACCCTCATAGTGATTATAGTCACTCACCCAAGTGAACAAGTCCATCCTTCCTTTCAACTATTTTTCATATTGACTGCCATCAATGTGATTGAATCAAAGAAGCATTCATAGAAAATAATTCTGTCTACAATAAACTATATGGAATTCATCGTACCAAGAAAGTCAGTCCAAATCCTCTTCTCTGGCCTGACCTCCGGAGTTTGATTCTCCATCATTGTTACCAATGTTGTCACCAGCGCCGCTGTTACTTGTCTCTGCAGGTGAGCCCAATGCCCTCTGTTCTTCTGTGCGCAGGTTTTGAGGATTCTCATGAGATGCCCCAGCAGGAGAAGCAGCAGCACTGCCAGAAGCTACCGACCCAGATGGCGCACTTGAATTTGCAGTGATTGGGGTTCCCCGAGTGCTATTCTCATAATCGGGGTCATCTGTAGGCAACTCATACCGACAAACCGGACAAGAATTGTGCAGGTCCAACCAGGGGACGATACAATCTGAATGGTATATGTGTTTACAAGGCATCTGTTTTGCCTCCTCACCAAGTTCAAAAGTGTCTTTACAAACAGCACACTGCGAAGAATCGGAAGAAAGCAAATCATAGGTAACCTTAATTTCGGGAAGAGCCTCCACAGCAGACTTTGAAGCAGGAGGGGTCCCATACCGGTTCGGATCATTATCGGCAAGCTGCTGTATGAGTTGCTCGAGGCCAGGGCCAATGAAGTAATCGCCGAGATTGGCAGGGAGCCGAAACCCAGGATCAGAAGAGTTGTTCTCCTCGATGACAAGTTGGATGTTGGCACCACCGGCTCTTAGGGTACTGATGTAATTCTGAAGGAATGAGAAAGGATTAAACTCATCACCACCGCCGCCGCCGCCGCCGCCGCCCAAGAGAGCGGAGAGATCGGTATGGTTTTGAAGTTCGATGCCGCCTCCTCCACCACCAGCTGAGGAGGTTGAGAAGACGATTGGGAATCCGCCGAAACCGGCAGAGAACGAAGGGAAACCGGAGAGGTTGTCGGATGAGAAGGGATCGGGGTTGGGGTTAGGGTTAGGGTTAGGGTTAGGGTTAGGGTTAGGGCTGGAAACAGGATCTTCATATTCTTCGAGGAAGCCGCTGTTGCAATTGGGGCAAATAAGTTCGGAGGTAGGTGAGTGCGTTATTGAGACCGTACGATTACACTGGTAACAGAAATATAGTGTGGCGGCGGCGCCTCCGCCAGAGTTTCCGGTCGATGACATGTATTCTCGCAGAGAGAGAGAGAGAGAGAGAGAGAAAATTTGCGGTCAACAACAGAATTTCCGCCAGAACGAGGAAGATCCAGCTTGCGCGTCGTTGCCGTTGCTCACTTTTCTTTCCCCCGGTCTTTGGCCCTGTTTGGCAGGTTCGATTTTTTTGGATTAAAATCCAAAAAGTATAAAATAAAATATGTTAAAATAATTAATAAGATAAAATATTTCGTCAAATTCATAATTATTTCATATTTTTTTTTTATAAATATCACATCCAATTATAAATTATCTTTTTAAATATAAAAATTTTAATTTATTAAAATAATTAAAAAAAAGTAAAATAAATTAAAATAATTAAAAAAAATAAAATAACTTATTAAAATAATAAACTCCAAACCTCAACTTTGACAGAGGGGCCGTGTGAAATCCGATTGGGGCGCACGTGTGTACTGCTATTAGTGGCGAGGGTTTTTTATTTTTATTTTTTAGTAGCAAGGTTGTTATAAAAAATGAGAGCTTTTTTTTTGGCGATAAGGGTTTTATTCAATTTATATTTTATTTTTGACTATTTTATTAGATTGTATTTAAGGTAAGAAGATAAACACTCTCAATATCTCCTATCTCATTACGCTGTATTTGGTTGGAAAAATTGAGAATATATTTGAAAAGAGAAACAGAAAGAGAAAGAGAAAGAGAAAAGGTAGATAAAATGAAAATAAAATATACTTACATTTTACTTAGTTTCACACATATTTTTCCTTTTTCATTTCCAAATCACTCTCTAAATTCTCCAACCAAACAAAGTATTAATGTTGATATTTAATGTTAATTGTCATTGTGTTTTGGTAGTTCCCATGACCATTCATATTCCCCATATCTTCACTTCAAAAAAATGCATTAACTACACACTACTAATTAATGTTAATATATATTACACATAAAAAAATTAAACATAGTTCTTTATTGATTGTCATTATGTTTTGGTAGTTCTCATACATCCAAATGCTGATTGTACGTGATAATGTGAATGTTCACATTAAATGACGTAAATGTGAATGTTCGCATCAGATGACGTGAATGTTCGCATCAAATGACATTGTGATAAATGTGATGTTAAGGTTCACATCAACATTGCATCAAATTACACAACCACAAGTCTCAACTTTCATTTGACTGGATGTGACGATGTGAATATTCACATTAGATAACGTGAATGTGAATGTTTACATCAAATGACGTGAATGTGAATGTTCATATCAGATGACATTGTGATAAAGGTAATGTTAAGGTTCACATCAGTATTGTATCAAATTACATAATCACAAGCCTCAACTTTCATTTGAATATAAACATGACGTGTGAATTTTCACATCAGATGACGTTGTGATAGAGATGATGTTAAGGTTCACTTAAACATTGCATCAAATTATACAACCACAAGCCTCAATTTTCATTTGAATATAAACATGACGTGAATATTCATAATAAAAAGGGGGCAATTATATGATGTGTTGTTAATTACATGATGTGTTGTCGATTACATGATGTTGATATTTAATGTTGATTGTCATTACTAATAGTAATCACAATCACAAAAAGAAGGAAAATAACATATTATCACTGCTTAAAAATAAGAATGTTCACATGTTGTGAACGTTCACATGTTGTGAACGTTCACATGTTGTGAACGTTCACATCACTATATTAAATGTGAGAGAATTTTTTAGAAAGGTATTGTGAACGTTCACCTCAGATGAGAGAGAATTCTTAGGGTGTTGAAGCCATTAAAGAGCTTTCCGGAAAGGTGTCCATTTTATAAGATTATCAAAATTTTTAATAAGTTTGATGAAAATGGAGCTTTTTGGTTTAGGGTTTAGGGACATTAATATCAACATTAAAGTTTGATGAAATGAGATTTTTTGGTTTAAGGTTTAGAGGCATTAAATATCAATATTAAATATTAACATTAAATATAAAGACATAAGAGTCTAAGAAAATAGTACAAATCAAGAAAAAAGACTTTATGAAATAAAAGTATACATACATGGGACTAAGTGGCTTAAAAAATTCTTTCATAAACTTCTTGAGTTAGAACACTTCTAAATGAGATTTATCAATAAAAATCCCTTAAAAAGTAATCACCATGTTTGTTTCTAGTTTTTTAAAAATACTTTTCAAAAAATTCTACTTTTTTGTTTATCATATTTTTTATTTTTACTGAATTTTTTTTAATAATTTAAGTATTTTTTTTAAATTTTTAAACACACCCAACATAAATACACTTAAAAACTACAATTTTCGTGAAAAAATTCTTTAAAAAATTCACTAAATACCACAAATTCAATATATATATATATATATGAAAATTTAGTATATTTTTCGTATTTTTGTGTATTTATTAATTTTTTAAAATATTTTTCACAAATATTTTACTTTTTAGATACATCTAAGTAAGATACATCTAAAAAAGTAAAAAAAAAAAAAAGCTTAAAATTTTTAAAATATTCACTAAAAACAAAAAAATACGAAAAACAAAAACTCAGTTTTCAAAAAACTGAATTCAGAAAACTTAAACCAAACACACTGAATTTTTTTAGTAATTTTTTGATATATTTTTGAAAGACATGTAAAAGAAAGGAAAAATTACTCATAAATCTCATTTGAAGAAAAGTTTTTCCATTTAGTCGTAGAAGTTTTCTTTCAAACTAATTTGTCATTTTTATTTTGGGTATATTGTATTTCCTTGATTTGGGGGTTTAGGAGTTTATTTGTTTGCCTTTGTATGAAATTTTGTTTGAATTTTTTTCTTGATGTTGGGTGTGTGTGAATAAAGTAGGTTTTTATGTTTTTATTTTTTTGTGAGAATTTAGTGAAGTGATTTGTGGGTGGATGACGTTACCCATTTGTAGGGTTACAAGACACTACATTTTCAAATATTAAACAAACATAGAGATTTAACATTTACATAACAATTTGACTTACACCACCACCACAAGCCCACTATAAACAATCACACCTATCCTGCCCTATTATAACATTGACATTATTTAACATCCAAATGACCAAAATCACTAACTAACACTACCATATCTCCAATATCCATAACAATGTCAAAAACCAGGGACCATTTAACGTGTACATTACACATGTTAATACAAACATCATAACGACAAAATGCGACCAACAAAAATCACAAAGTCACACAACACAATCATTGTTTGGCAACACAAAGTTACACCAACTTGTCAAATGATATCTACACATATAGAACCCATAAACAAAACAATGACCACACCACCAAAACCCCAATGTACTCCAAACTCACATTACCATTCACATACAACAACAATACGATGCAAACCTATAACATTACCGTGAGGGATTGTGTGGAGTAATTTGGGGGGTTGTTGATGTGGGTGTATTGATGTTGGATCATGGGGTTTGCTGAAAGAGGTGTAGGTGCTTTTTTTTCTTGGTGTTACTTCGGTGCCTGCGTTGTTGACAGATTATATGGCAATTTACAAGTCAGTTTTATATTTTGTTTGTGGTTGGATTAATGTGTTGGGTTGTGGTTTCGTTGTTGGTGGGTGTGTCGGGAAGTATGGAGTTTAATGTGTTAATGTTATGATGTCATTATGGGGGTGTTGTTTGATTGTCGTTACGGGTTGTGTTGTTTAATTTTCGGTCAATGCGGTGTTAGTAATGGTAGCGTTATGTCATTCTCGAAAACAAGAAGTTCAAGGTTGATTGTGACGAAGATTTTCAAAACATGTTGTGCCTTGCAAAGTCGTTTAGGCTTGATCATATTGTCCCGGGTTTCAATCGTCGCCTGTTCTTTAATCAAATCGTACGACAACATCACTTCACAAAAAAACCATTATCATGCATACAAAATTTTACAAACAAAAAACTAAAAAGACCATTACAAGCTATCACGCTACCTACCCTTTATAATCAATCGTGCACTATTACGTAATGAAAACCCAAATTCCAGCATATATCTAAATGTCATTCACCCAATTGACGTACCACTATGTCGAACATTTTACCAACATGAATGTGGTTGCAGGTTGCGTTGTTTAGTTTTCAGTCGATGCGGTGTTAATAATGATAGCATTATATCATGGTGTGTCATTTTATTCCAGCATATTGCCCAATTGACGTACCATTACATTAAACATTTTACCAACATGGATGTGGTTGCCATTACATATTAACTAACAGGGACGTAATTTATTTTACAAAGCCATACATCCATAAACGAATCTAACCAAAAAAGGATCCAACCATTTAACAACATAAGGACAAAATCAACTAAACAAGTGTGACTGACATTGCAATTCAAACTGCTTAACACTGATTCAATTTAAACTACAAACCAACACATCCGTAAACAAACCCAACCAAAAGGGGACCCAACCATTCAGCAAAAGAACAACAAAACCCAATGAACAAATGTGACTAACATTGCATTTCATTAATATGTAAATCAATAACATTACACTTAACTAACATTGATGTCACTATCATTCCACATCACCTCCACCATATATACCATTGACAAACAGGGGAAATAACAACACAACCAATACAATCAATGACATTACAATTAAACTGATGCCAAAATACACCACAACAATCCATGTCAGACATAAATTTGCACTACCAAAACACCAACCACAAAAGAGATTAGCCATTACATGACCATACCCTCAATGCAGTTTGAAACCCCTCCAACCATTAACATCTACTAAACCATTGTTTAGTAACTAACACTACTACATATCATCAAGAACAAACATACACTGTAACATTGAACACACAAACCGAATCAACTACAACAAGGAAATCAACATTGGGAGCCACATAACTAACGCCATCATTCACTAACACAGTCACAGAAGCCGACAATGAGTGAATGAAACCTTGAATATCGTTGGAGTGGCGTCGTTAAAGTCAACCACGACCACAAAATTATTCACTTCCGCTATGTATTGACGATGCAATTTCACTCGCAGTAGAGGGTTTTCTTATTTCTAGGGTTTGGTAGGAAAAACAAATGTTAATTTGTGTAGGTTGTAATGATAAGTTAACATTACCTAAAACATTTTCTATAGAAGTGTAGGGTTTTCATGGCACTAACATTG